AGCGGTATCGAGGAGCACCGCCTTCTGCATTTGAGCCTGGAGTGGTCCGTCACGGAGTCCCAGTCGCCTCAGATGACCCGGGAGGCTGACTGGGATTAACCCGTTCGCAGAAACGACCACAGGAATAATTTCGGTCGGCAGACCACCCCACATGCCGGTAACCTCGTGAGCCAGGTCCAGATATTTTGTCACCTTATCTGTTTCGGCTTTCACGAGGTTCTCGTCATAAGGAATGGTAATGTCGACCAAAAAGATCCTTGACTGTGCCCGGTCCATCAGCACAATATCAGGCTTATTCGCAAGAATAGTCCTGTCTGTGATGATGGCCCGGTCCCAGTAGAGCCTGGCGCGGTAATTTTCGAGCACGGCTTCCGGCAAGTACTTATAATACGGCAGTTTCCGATCCACGAGGCCGTATTTCAGAGCGAGCTCCTGGTGTAGAATCCTGGCTACTAGATTGTGTCTGTGCAAATACTCAGATATTATTATTATTATTAATTTAATTATTATTATAAATACCTAAATACTTCTAATTAATAAATAGCATTACGATATAAATACAGGTAGGTACTTTCCAAGTAGTAGGTACGGACATTAAGTTTAGTTGACATCAAACATCCATCGATGTGCCATCGATTATTTTTGTGTGGCTTATGACACGCGAGTCGTGTCTTTTTAAAAATGTTTATAACTAGCTCAAATTGCTGTTTATCCTATAGATAACTTTAATGAATCAATAGCTAATAGGAATATAACTGAAAACTTCAGAAACCGGGCATGAGTCCCATACAGGGGCAAAGTATATGCAAGTTTTTTTTTTTATAGAACTGGAGTGATAAATGATCTTACAGACTACTTGATGGTAAGTGGCTTCTGCAGTCCATGGACATATAGCAACTTCAAACAAAGAAGGCTACAGCTACAGGTCCGTTGTCACCTCTGAGGACTAACATGGAATGCCTCACTGAAATAGATAAGAGTGTGGTGATAACGGAACATTATATATAATATCATCACCATATTTGCAACAGTTGAATATATTATGATACAAAAATGATGACAGCATTCGCTGGGTATGGTCAGTGATACTGAGGAATACCTAAGTTTCTGAATAAATCCCTTATTACCTATCTACATAACGTTATTGCGGACGTTAATGACTCAAACAAACGCTTTACTATTGTCGAGCATGGAAATTTCTTCAGCTTTGTAAGCCGAAAAAAATAACCGTGTGACCCAGGTGGTAATACAGCAGCTCTTGAAATTAATTAACTATTTAACCAGATGCACTATGACAATATCCGAAATTACGTCTCGTTTCGCCTTTAAGTAGATTATCTTCACTTTCACTATGAATGTTCAGCGAAATAGTGAGAAGTTAACACAATAATATAATATTTCTATACTTTCTTATTTTAAAATATAAGCTATAACTAATTTATTTTATTAGTAAAAATGTAACAAACGTCTTCTAGTGTGTAGTAGTAATATTAACATAATATACTTTATTATTTTATTTGCCTCGACAACTTACAGAATAAAATACAATGAAATAATATAATTTATTTCATTCATCAATCCTTCGTTTTAATGTTGCTACTAACAATTACCAATGAATATAATTCAACGTTTTAAAATATTTAATTACAATAAGGTAATTACTGCCATCTAGTGTCCAATAGAAATATCAACATACAGTTAAAGCACTATTAACGCCATCTAAGCATAATTATTCTTACAAGTTTTGTTTTGCTTAGTTATTAAAGGGAAAAGATGCAAGAGATGGCGCACTTACAAATTCGAAGTGTATTAAAACAGTCAATAGATGTCACTACATCATTCAATTTAATTCCCTTTTGCCTGGGTATCTTATTTTTATAGATTATTAATGATAATATAAAACAATATAATTATTGGTAATCGTATCATTCAAGGAGCTAACAGCCATATGAATAATGGTATTTGAATATATAACAGGTAAACATTTATAATTTTTAGTTACCAAAATATAGGTACAGGTTAGTTTCGGGAGCGGTGCTGAAGCTTTTTAAAAATAACTAAATATGTCTCGATGACGTTTATTACTATTACATTACAATAATGTATATCTTATATTATCATTTGTTATCTCGTTATTACATAATTTTGAAAATATCCTTTCGGCTTTGCTATAGATTATGCATCTTCCTTTTCCTAATGATTGAATTTTCACTGAGCTAATTTCGACTGGTACTGGATGGCAGGAGCTCGTACTATCTGAGAATCTCAGTGAAGCCTTGATACAGGCATCTATTTGAAGTTGTGACTCACCTTCGTAGTATAGGAACATAGCCTCGTCGTGTTGGTTGCAATACTGAGTGAGCGAGACGATTTCAGAACCTTTTACGAATAGGTAGGGATATTTATTAATAACGATTTCAGTTTGATTAAAGGAAGTGATAACAGGAATTAGGATAGCTCTTTAGTAAATATAATTTTCACTATTTATAATAGGTATAACTAACACGAAATTTATTTGACTTCCTTTTGAGTACCTTTACATTTATACATTGTTCTGTCTTTACTAAATTATCATAGCTTACAGGGTTATAAGTTTATTTGTTAAATCTATTGATTTTAATAACTTTAACAATTCTTCAGAATCTAAAAGTGGTGTAAAATTCCTAATTTACGAAAGGTTACAGAAGTTTCGATCTCATTCTATCTAGTGTAGAGTAATTGGAAATTGTGTAAAAATAAATTGTAAATATTTTTAAAATTATGTATTGTTAAGCTAATGTCCGTTCCGTTGGGCTATGTCGGTCACTCTGGTTCTACTGCGGATATCCTCATTTCTGAGTTTATCACGCAGAGAAACTCCGAGCATAGCCCTCTCCATTACCAACGGATTAGTAAGCTGAAGTGGCAATGGGCCGGCCATATAGCTCGAAGAACCGACAACCGATGGGGAAGAAAGGTTCTCGAGTGGCAGCCTCGTACCGGCAGGCGAAGTGTAGGGCGTCCCCCCACTAGATGGAGTGACGACCTGGTAAGATATGCGGGAAGTCGATGGATGCAGGTGGCTCAGGACCGTGCTTTGTGGCGTTCTTTGGGGGAGGCCTATGTTCAGCGGTGGACTTGTGAAGGGCTGTAATGATGATGATGATGATGAAGCTAATGTCGATTATAAACTTTATATAACTATCTCTAGTTATTTACATAACATTGAAACATATACAATATTCAAAAACTATAATAAAATACTTAAGTTATCATACAGTCCTACTCCCTGTGATATCGTGCCAAGAATGCTGCCTGCGTTTCCTCGCCGAATGACTAGCTACACTTAGTCTTTGAACGAGAGAGGAACCAGCTTTTTTATCACCCGCAGAAACGGCCAGTCGCGGATAGAGTTCCTTTAAGAACTTCACTGCACGTGGACCCCACGTACCGATAGTCTACAACAAATGGCACATATGTGTAGTCATCTCTCAGAGACTCCTATTTGCGCCACTTAGTTCAGCTGGATCTGATGCCGCTCTGGCTCTATACGAAATACGCCCTGAGATGAGAGGCTGCGAAAGTGGCACACTAGGGCTTTACCTTTCTCCCAAGGGGCCAATGTTATACCGTTGGGTCTCCTGCCATCGTCTTTAAATATTTCACAATTCTCTAAAACCGTGATAACATTTATATAGACAAGAGCTCTTCAGATGAGATCGTTCAAAGATACGTGACGGGAAAACCTACCAACTACGCTGGAATAATTGGAACTCTGGTGAGTTACCTAGGTATACACATGAATTGACCGGCTGGTGACAGTGTCAGCCCGTAAATAGTTGATAATTGTTTGAAATTATTTCTTTGATTTCCAAGTTATGTCGATTTCCCCTAATCCTTACGACGAGCATGTTTTATAATGTCTTTAGATAACACTTTATAAAAATTCAACGATTTTTTTTAGAAATGTATTACAAATATTTTACCGCTTTATTAAGTTGGGTTGGGTTACTGTTCGTAGGTATCAAATGAGGTTGAACGATATTTTAGTAGGATGATCACTAATTCCTTATGCCTCACGCACATACACTTACTTTACCATTAAATTACACAAAAGCAGTAAGTGCATGCATATTTTATTTTTAATTTATTATCTTATTTAAACTGTAGTCTAAAATGTATATTGTAAAACTGTTTTTGGAAGAGCGGAGTTTTCTGGGACTTGGGACAAGCAATTTATTTAGCCTAATAGGAAAGTCCAAACATAGCAAAACATGTATTTTTAGACTTAAGTAAACGAAACTCAAGATTTAATTTAATTTAAAATAATTCTTATATTTTTAATCGGTTATAGGAATGTAAGATGGAAACATGATAGATGCGATAGATGTTTAATCACTAATTTAGTAATCTAGGCATGTAATCGAGCGCCCACCCACCGGGAAGCGCTAAGAACAATCGAATACTTTCGGTTATTAGTCGAATAATTCGGTTATTATTCGATTATTTAGCTCGAGTGAATCAATTCGGCGATCTCTTTGTGATAGATGGTGACGGTGCATAAAAGCGCGTGCGGTCGCGTCACATGATTAGTCAATTGGGCTGCAATTAACTGATTGTATTCTTTGCTTTTTTATTTTTTTTTTATTTTACGGTCGCCGGCTGTATTTTGACTTATCGAACAAGTTAATAAGTCCACTGTTTATCATGTTAGTTTGAAGATAGTAACAATTAATTATAAAAGAATAGCTTAATCTCATTATCTTTATTTTGTTAGAATTCAAATATTCTATCAATGTTGTTTTTTTAAACGATTATATTAATATAAATCCTGTAAAATCCTGTTTAAACGATTATATAATCTTACAATTGGATTTCTAATTGTAAGAGTCAAATTTTAGGGCAACACGGCCACGCGCGCGAGAAGTCTTAAATACATAAAAGATGACATTTGCATCTAAAGAGGTATTTTTATCTGTGGTGCAACATCTGTCAATTCAGAAGTCACACGCCAAATCAGAATGAGTGGGATACTAACTAAAGTGAGGAGATTACCCGTACAATTTCCACTATTACGCGGCATGTTGTCATACGCGGTGATCTGGCCGACCTGCAGCGTGCTCCAAGAATACTTGGAACACGGAACAACAGTAGAAAACGCCGATTGGGCACGCGCAGCCCGGTTCGGCATCTTCGGTACATTTTTCATGGCACCGTTGTTTTATAATTGGATGAAATACACCAGTAGGTTCTTCAAAGGAAAAACTCTGGGGTCAGCTGTCACTCGGGCTGTCATAGAGCAGATTTCATATTCGCCCGTAGCGATGGCGTATTTCTTCTTCGGTATGAGTGCGTTGGAAATGAAGCCATTTAACGCGTGCGTTGAGGAGGTGAAGGAAAAGTTTTGGGATACGTACAAGATCGGCGCGGTGTTTTGGCCCACGGCGCAAACTTTAAATTTTTACTTTGTATCTGAGAAAAATCGTATTGTTTTCGTCAGCGCCGCTAGTTTCATTTGGACGGTTTATCTCGCGCACGTGAAGTCGAGGAAGAGGAACACCGATGACTTGAAATTTTTGGAAAACAAGGACTAGTGAAATCCATTGAGAAAATTAGTGTTAAAATAATTACCTGTATAACATTGTCCAGATTTTTATATACATTTTTATTTCCTAAACCATTAAATGGAAATCATAATGTGACAAAATTGTGAAGTTATTTAATTCATTTTATAAACTACGTTATGCACAAACGGAATTTCGTCTGGACTATTTGAAAGGTATTATTTTATGATATATGATATGGATTTACGGGAACATACAGATTATCATAGAAGTTGAGTGTATTTTTCAATATTAAATTGACTAACCTTTTACCGTTAGTCAATTTAATATTGACATTTTGATTTTAGCGGCCCAGGGCGGTAACAAGCCATACTAAGCCACTATTCTCTATATTCTGCTTCATCTGCTTCATCTAGCTTCATCTGTCTCTATGTCATTGTGTTCACAAATTTTTAGACACCGACTAACGGCGAAAGCTTTTTCTTAAATGCCAAGCCCAAAATAAATAAAATAATACGGTGAAAGAAGCAGCATTACCAGACCGAGTGCATTAATTAATTCGTCAGTCCAGTTTACGCGTAAAACTTTCGAGAAGCAAAACCAAAAGAGGTTTTCGTTTTTTTAAAGGTTGTGTTCCGGGTTGAAGGATATAGAGGGCTAGTTTATTTACAGGCTGTGAGACATTCCATCTTACCAAGTCCTCAGAGGTGACAACCGATCTGTAGTTATCTTTGATGTTGCTTGCACGTGCTCATGGATTGCAAAAGTCATTCACCATCATGTGGACTGTACGTTCGTTTATCACTTCAATTTTATTAAAAAAATAAGGCATAACAGTTTGTCGAATTCTTCGATAAGCTATTTACTGTAAAATGAAAACGACAATTCAAATACAACTAGTTTTAATGTTTTTATCGTGTTGAATTTTACTTATTTTGTTTCAAGCATCGCGTTGAATTTTACTTATTTAGTTTCAAGCATCCATGGTCATATGAGGGGCCTACTCATAGATGCTTGATGTCCTAATGTCAAAGTTATAAGAAGAAAACTAGACTTAATTCAGAAAAAAAAATAATAAGGCCTAAATGAAGTAACGAGTTATGATCGAAAAATAAAATCGATTTGACTGTATTTACCGTACCTTCTCTGATATCTTCCACTTCATCATCAGCTCTTTACTGTCTACTGACAAGAAACTGTATGTTGTAACTGTAGGTACAACTAATCGCAATGCTTGGCAGTATGACGAATGCTCGCAGATCCGATTTCTTGCTCATTTGACGTTACCCCGTCCCCGATAAACGGTTACTGGGTGTCTTCATGATACAATGATCACTGTTGGACACCGTATAGTTTTTATGGAATTTACTAGAGTAACATTTTACAATATCTACGACACGAAATGGGATGATGGATTCTCCATCACGTTACATATTGCAAGCGATACGCTCCGGCATCGGACGGGCGAATTCTGGATACAGACAACATTGCTTTCTACCATGTCCAACTATAGATATAAACCATCCAGATGGTCCCATTAGAACAACATAAAATTTTATCCAAATGGTAAAGGCATTTAGGATTAATTTTAATTTATTTACGAGCACACATACACATGCACATGTATAAAAAGAAAATTGTGTATTTTATTTGTGTGGACAGCAAAGTAAGAGAGTCAATTATTCCCTCCGTGCTGTGTGAGACAAGTTGAGTAAAGGAAATGCCAGGATCGTCGTATCCGACATTACGCCAGACCTCACCATACTCAGTCGACGCGACGCGACGGCGTGATTTGCGCGAAATGCCCGGTAATACGGTCACAATTACATCTTCTAAGCGTGAGAGTTTTATAGATAAGGGGGCAAATGAGCACCTACCCTCTCGTAAATAATTATCCCCATAAACTTCAAAACAAAACGCAACAGTGAATGTACTGTAGTTTAGCGGTAAAAATAGATAGGGCGATAACTAACCGTACAGAAATGAATAAAAGATAACACGCAAGAATAGACGCCCAGAAGTACCCGCAACTGAACATAGGCTGCATGGCGATGCCACAGCAAACACTCCTACGTTAATTGGGAGCAAGTCATTCAAAGTATGACATATTTTGAAATTTAAGTTGGTAAAAATTATTTTGCTTACACCCACTCAAGGAAATAAAATGATGTGTCTTACCTAGTTTGAATAGCACCTCCCGCCCTCCCTCAATTGCGTGCACTATCCCCGTCACCACTAATCCCAGCAGCACTACTCCCAACACTATTTTATACCAACTTTGATATAATAGATTCTATTATGTTAAAAGTCATTAGAATATCGTGGCAATTTTTCGCTTCATTTTTCGCACGTATGTAATATTAATGATTTCGCAACGAGACCACTAATACTACGCTTACTACAAACATAGAATAAATAATAGTATAAGAACTACAACTTCCTAATTTTTAAAATGGGTAACATCTTCGAGTGTGGCTAATGACGAGGTTCGATATAAATTACATAAAAAAGCCCTCCAGCGTTGCCTGCCGCATTCTTCATATTTTTCCCCAAATAAAAAAGAATACAAAGAGATCATATTTATTAGAATTAATAATGAGAATGAATTTTTATTGGCGTCATTAATCATGTTTTGTCAACGCCGAGCGAGCGACGATGTTCCTAACTTTTTTTATAAGATGGAATAACGAAATGCATTTTAGGCTGCTATTAGAATGTTCCTTTGTCAAATTTTACAATATAATTCGAATTAAAAAAAAATCTTTTTGTATATTGAAAGTGTATAAGATATTTGTCTAATTTCGAAATATAGTAACAATAAAATGTTATTAAAGTGAACAACAAAGTTAACAGGCTCGACCGGAGAAGGGCCACGCTCTCAGCTCTCACAGAATACCCGCGTAAAATAGCAGCTTGACACTGCTGTGTTTCGTATGGTGAGTGTAGAGAACTGGAGACCCTTTTTACTAGAAAAGAGGCATTCCATCTTAGTCCTCACGAGTGACGACGCATCTGCATTTTGATTCTTTATTGAGGATAAATGTATCTAGATGTCTATGGGTCACAGCAACCACTTACCATCAGGTGGACTGTGCGCTCGTTTGTCACCCTGTATTATTAAAAAAAGCATATCTCATTTCTGACAGGGTTTTAGGGCAACGAAGTGTGTGAATTGTTGGCGAACTTGCAATGTCTACGAAATATTTTTTTTAAATTTTCAGAGAATCAGATTTCTATTTACAATTTAGTTGTGCCAACCCGTCCCCAACCAAACAACCCCGGTTAGATGCGGCTTGCGTAGGTACTGTAAAATTTACAACGGGCCTCTGAGCTTCTACGGCTCTGAGTTTAACGAAAAAATACGTCAGCAAGAGTTTTGTCATTAAAACGCAAGTTTTTTCGCTACGGATCGCTGGTAATGAGTAAAGAGAGAAAACGGTGGAACGTCCTCATCAGATTTGCCATAATGTTGTAGTTTGCTTGGCAGGTAGATTGGCGATCGTTGTACTAGACCTCTCACACTTTAGCGCTGTGTGTGTTCGTAACATCCTCATCTTCTTTAGCCTATTGGAGTCCACAGCCTATAAGGGCTTCTTACAATGTGGGGAGAATTTGTCTGCTTGGTAGGCGAATTTACGATCGCAGTTCCTGACCTTTCACACCTTTGCTGCTGTTACCCGTTACTAGTGTAAGTATGTATGTTCATTAAATTAAGACACGTACGAATATGAAGTTAAAAAGAAATTGATAGTGAAACCTAAAATAAAGACTTTATATTCCGAGTTTCAGCAAATATTTTATAGGAATATTCGTTTTAATAAATAAATTAATAGTTGTAACATACTTGCTAACAGATGGCGTTAGTAATCTGTTAATACCAGGATAATACTCTATCCTATATTTTTCTTATGATAGAAAAATCTTAGTTATTTTAATAAATATTGTGTTGTAATCGAAAATCATATTTACAATGTGTTCTTTAAATTATCTGTGCATGAGAGACAGCGGAGTTTTAGTCATTATTGTATGAGGAATAAAATTTTGTATAGTAGATTTTGAAAATCTCATTTTATAGAGACAAGTTGAGACCAAGGAAGGAGATAGGATATCTTACGGATATCTTATTGGATATCACCTACCGTGCAGGTTTCACGGAAGGATTCTACTACCATACTACCGTAATACAAAATTATTGTCTCTATCGTTTGTCTATCCAGAGTTTTTTTTTCATATGAGAGGGGGCAAACGAGCATACGGCTCATCTGATGGTAAGTGACTACCGCCGCCCATGAACAACTGCAACACCAGGGGAATTGCAGATGCGTTGCTGGCCTTTTGAAAAAGAGTAGTCTCTTTTTTTGAAGGTATCTAATTCGTATCGGTTCGGAAAAATTGCTGGTGGTATTCGATTCCACAAGGTACTATAATAACTGGAATATTTTGTTACTCCTAAAGTGTAACAAAATATTGTAATTTATTCCATACCTGTGTATCCGTGTAAACGTGTATTAGAGATGTCATTTATAAGCAACAATTGAAGCTGCATCGAGCGATTAAAATTATCTGCTAGGCAATCCGTAAAGTAACAGTATTTATTCGTCCCAGTACTTAGTTTTATTTCTGAAAGGGTTAAGGTGCAAAGCCACTGGGCTACTTCAGTGCGTGTTAGCAGACTACAAAAGTCCTTGAAATAATTCCTTTCTCTGACGTGCAGGTTTCCTCGCGATGTTTTCCTTCACCGGCAAGCATGTGATAGACTCGATATTGCCGGCGGTGATCAAACTCGGATTGCTCGCGTGTTGTAAAATTAACAATGAGCTCTTAGACCCTGAACTACAATAACTCTTTTTAGGGTTCCGTACCCGAAAGGTAATATACGGGTATTCTCCGTCCGTCTGTCGGTCAGCGGGTTGTACCTCATGATCCGTAATAGGTGTAGCCTGTATTACAACAATTAATAAAAATTAAAAATTAAAGGGGGTCCTAGAAACCTGCGATTGTACGGAACCATTCATGCGGAAGTCCGACTC